GTGGATGTCCCCCCGTGGACTCCGTTGCGGAAGCTGTACGTTTAAACTCCAGAAGAAGGGTGGGCTGAGAAAGCGAACGGAGCCCCCGCATCCTTTACACAGCCGAAAGCAACAGGGGCAGGAATTCATTCTGCTTATGGTGGGCTGAAGGGGTCAGGGACCTACCTGAGTGATGCGAGCTGTGCTCCTAGGACTCAGGCACACCACAGAGGAGGCCCCAGGCCAGGAGGAAAACACACTTAGCGCCTCCCCCGACTTCATCCTGGCCCTAAGCCACCGGGTCTCCAGCCCTAATTTCCCCTGCTAGCCTCAAGCTTCCACAGAACCCCTCCACCTCTTCCTCTGGCCTGTGAGCCAGAATTGTATCTGGCCCCTGCTCCGTCAGACAAATACCGCGGGCGGTGAGAGGAAAGGAACACTGCTGTCCAAGCTCCCCAGTCAATATTTTTTCCGCTTTTTCCATGCAAGCTGTTAAAAACATGCTGCTCTCTTGTTTTTGTGTTTCTTTTCAGCTTGGTACTGGAATGGTGCCTTCTGTTGTTTTTTCTTCCTCCCTCTTTTAGGTCTTTAGCATGCTAGAAGTACAACAATCAAGCAAAACTAGGACAAGCTTTAATCCTTCCAAATTGGGTGGAGTGGCTACTTTGCTTGTACAAGAAAGGCTAAACTGGCCTCCCTAGAACTCCCAAGAGTCCTCAGAGGCACCAGTAGGAGGAGGTGAGGGTGCTGGAGTTTCTTACAAAACTTAATGGAAAGTTTTCCTTTACCCTTCTGCAGGCAGCACAGAACCACCAGAATGTCCCCTCTCTTTTGTTTGTTTTGGACTATAAGCAGCTTAGAGTGATAAACTACATATGGTGAATATGGTGAGCATAAGCTCCGAAATGGTAACTGCAGGTCTGATTAATAAAAACATAAAATTATTAATGAACGTAACTTAGGAGACTTTTTAAAAAAAAAAAAAAAAAACCACGTTCATCAGAATAAACACAGTAGATAGAGCCTTTGATAGGAGTGAAAGTTTGGGGACTAATGGACTTGAACAGTAGCTCTCAAATTAGGTCTGTGGATGTATTCTGTAGGGCTTCGGTATGGTTTTCATCTTGGTAATAATTTTTAGATTTATATAAGCATATTCTGTACTATTTGGATCACCACTTTATAAAGTATTTATTTATTGCTGCCCTATTTCAATACTTAGGTTTGCATGTGCGTTCCCATGCTGCTTTTACCCTTCTAGAATAAGAAAAGATCGGAGGTAGATTTAAAATGAAAATGGTGTTTTCATGCCCAAAATGAAAGCCAACTGACACCATGGAAATGCACTGTCACAGCATTTCCAGCAGACGAGTGAGAAAACAGGTATTACAGGTCACTTGGCAGCACAGGCACATTCACCTCAAAAGCAGCTGAGCCTTCCCAGGCAACACCTGAGTCAATACAAGGGATAACTCAGGCTCCTGGGTACTTGATTTGTAGATCTCTTTTGGGTTGTTAGTGTATAAGAACTATAAATAAAAGAACACTATATTCCTACTTTATATTTGCAAGTTTAAGTAACATTGTAATAAAAATAATTTAAGTTGGGGGCACCTGGGGCACCATTCCAGCATCTGCCTTCAGCTCAGGTCATGATCCCAGGGTCCTGGGATCAAGCCTTGCGCCTGGCTCCCTGCTCAGTGGGGAGCCTGCTTCTTCTCCCTCTCCTCCCCCGCTCATTCTCTCTCTCTCAAATAAATAAAAAATCTTTAAAAAAATAAGTTGCCTGAGGGTTTTCACAATTTTTTTTTTCCCTTTAGAAATGGATCCAAATACCACTCAAGGTTGAAAAACAGAGGGCTAAGAGGTTTTTGGATTTTGTACTTTACCAGTTAGAAGATCAGAGGGGGTTCCTATTGGCATGGAGAGGAGAAATCTGTTCCCTTATACTTGATGTAAAAAGCCTTCAGAAATGGTGGAGGAAGTAAGCAGAGAGAGAAGCACATTAAGTCAGTTCCAGGCATATCATCATCTACATGTTGCTCAAGCTTAGATGAGCCTCATTCTGAACAAAAATTAGCACACTGGTTAATGCTAAGCTATTTTGTTTAAAACTCAGATATGCTTTCCTTACCCAAGCACAATGAATTGGATACCTAAGGAATAACTATGATTAAATATGAAATCACAAGCTGAAAAAAATGGGTGCCAAAAAATTGCCTGGTTTGAGAGTCATCAATTCTAGACTTCAATTCCCACCTCTGTCTCTATGTATGACCTACCTCTTCCTCTGCCTCAATCCCACCTCCCACCCCCTCACCCCCAATAAAACAGAGTTAACCACCTCTGGGTCCCTCTCTAGTTACTGTGATGATGTGAGAACAGAACAGGTAGTAAACATGGAGATGCTAATAAATCCTTCAATAAAGAAACTAATTAAAACAGACTACAGCAGAAAGAGGCTATTTCAAAACTGGGCCAAATGGAAACTGGAACAAAATCTAAGTCTTTGGAGGAGTGTGGTCCACAGACTATCTGAATCACCTAAGATGCATGTTAAAAAAAAATGCATATTCCTGTCTTGCACCCCAGATCCACTGAATCAGAACCCCTGAGAGTAGGGCGGGGCATTTTACTGTGTACCCCCGGTGATTCTAATGTACACTGATATTTCAAAGTCACTGATTTAAAAACATCTGTAAAAATCATTTCCAGGTCAACAAGCAGCTGCTCAGGAAGAGTCTGAAAAGAGTCTCTGGAGGCCGCTTCTTGTCCAGAAAAAGCAAATGACAGCAAAAACTGATTATTGATAAGCAAATCTGTCCCTATTGGTTATGGTTTTTGCCAGATTAAACTGATCCCTCTTTTGCTGGCCTCCTGGAATGCAGCTAAGCAAGACAAATACAGTACTGTGGCTCCAAGCTGCTGCCGCATCCTTTCCTCTCTACTGCTCCTCTGGTCTCCTCCCCAAGACCCCCCCCCACACACACACACACAAAACTAATGACCAGGGAGCGCCAGAAGCAGCAGCTGAGATTCGACTGGGGGTTTAAAGCAACACTCAGGAAACAGTGTGACATTCTCAGCACAAAAGCCCTGAGTTCTGACACCCATATGCAGTTCACGCATCTAGTGAATCAAGGGAAGACAGGCTCAGACTTGCCCCGTTCCTGTCACACAAAGCATGGAGAATATGGAGAAGCACAAGCAGATGGGATCAACAGACATCAATGCTTGTGCTTGTAACAGCTCCCAGCGTCCCAGCAGAAAAGGGTCAGTCCTGAGGAAGTCTGAAGGACATCACGGTCATGCTCTCTAACCTCCTGCCTCATTGAGTCAGCTCGCCTCTTCCTCACCATCCACCAGGCTTTACAAAATCAATGCTCGTTCAAGCTGATCTGCTTCAGAGCCACCCCCCTGGAAGAGAAGGCCAAGTGCAAGAGAGACACGTGTATGCAGGTGGTTCTCACAAGGCAGACCCCCAAGTGTCATCCCATTGAAAAGGCAGTCAAGAAATGGTAGATGGAAAAAAAAATTTTTTTAATTTAAAAAAAAATAACAAAGTGATAGATGGTCCAGTTCACGCACAGGAAACCTGAGGTACATGCAGGCATTTTCCAAGTATCTTCATTTAGCAAGATGACCCTGCTAAACTGATACCCAGGTCTGTACTTAATTCATTACAAAGCAGTAATTATCACCATTGCATTAATGATATTTTGAATTTATATATATATATTTTTAAAGATTTTATTTATTTGACAGAGACACAGCAAAAAGGGAATGCAAGTAGGGGGAGTGGGAGAGGGAGAAGCAGACTCCCCGCCGAGCAGGGAGCCCGATGCGGGGCTCGATCCCAGGACCCTGGGATCATGACCTCAGCCGAAGGCAGACGCTTAACGACTGAGCCACCCAGGCTCCCCGAATTTATATTTATACAAAGACTGTCTTAATCCTGTGGAACTCAAATATTTTCACCTCAAAATTTTAATTGCATTTTTATGGCTGCGAATACTTGACAAAGAAGAGGCTTTGCCTGGAGTCACACAATGAATCACAATGAATGAAGAAGCTGTGAAACACATAATCCTGGATTATTACCTCTCCCGGCTTCATCCTCTACCTCCATGCCACAGTTTATCACTGGATATAAAAAAAAAAAAAAGGTGTTGGATTTCCAGAGCAAAACTTCTCTCGAATTCTTGAGAAGAGCAAATCAAAGACATTGGACAGCCAGTTCTGATTCAGGGCAGTATACAGAATGGCTAAAATGGGGGCATCCGCATGGCTCAATCAGCTAGGCATCTGACTCTTGACCTCAGCTCAGGTCTTGATCTCAGGGTCATGAGTTCGAGCCCTACACTGGAGTATACAGTGGAGTCAGGATGACCTAGATTGACATCCCAGCCCTGCCAATTATTAGTCTGTGTGACTGTGAACAAATAACTTACCCTCTCAGAATCCTGGTTTCTGCATCTATAGCGTAGAGCTGTAAAGCTTACCTCATGCGGTTGTTAAGATCAAATAATGCATACAGAGTGCTTCGATTAGTACCTGACAAGAGTAAACCATCAAATATTAGCCATTAATAGTTATCTACTGAGGAAGTAGAAGCAGGAAAGAAAACATTCCAATCAACTGAGCTTTGGCAACAGAGGACCAGTATGAAAAGATGAAAGGAGTACATGACTTAGAGAAGACCTAACTCAAGGTCTTCCAGAAGGTTTTCTCATTGGCAAAAAAATAGGGGCAAATCTTAGCTGAGGTCTCTCGGGGTTCTTGTGAGGAATAAGATCCATAAGGGGAAGTACTTTGTAAAGGAAAGCATTACGCAAATGCTAGAGTTTACTGAGCACCAAGTGCTCACTGAACTGTTGCCCACAGCAAACAAAAGAAGAGAGCATCTGGAGACCGACGCTCAAGGTGGGTAGGCCCCCAATTCCCTAAGAACAGCAGCCAGAATGAATACTTCCTCTAACCTCAAGGGCATATTTAAGCTACAACAGACCTGGAGATCAAACAGGCATGGCGACCTTTCTCAAAAGTCTTAGGCATTTGAGTTCTATTATGGGCTCCGACATTCTTAGGACAGACCCCTGGTTATCTTGTCAGGTGCCGTACACAGCTCAACGAAAACCCTTTGTTACAAAGCAAACAAAAACAAACCCCCTTTGTTACAGTGTTAAATGCAAAAGCAAGGTACAATTAAAATTCTGAGGTGAAAAATAACAATAAAAATGTTATTGAAGTTGTGGGGGGTAACTTAAGCTGAAAATGCTCGGAAATATTAGATTGCTCCTAAACAGGTAGTATTAAATTATTTTAAGATTAAAAAAGAGAAAGTGCCAGAACAGTATACATAGTATCTTACCACTTGTTAAAGAAGACACAAGTGCTTATGTAAGCATTAAAAAAAAAAGGTTCTAGAATACACGTGAATTACATTGGTTGGTTATGGGAAGATAACAGGGTACCTGGGGGAACAGGATGGAAGGGAGAGTTTTCCATGTTCAATATCTCCATCTGACCTTTGGTTTTTTACTATATGCTATATTGCAGATTTTACATGAATTTCACCCATTTTTCTGTCTTTTATCTGTTTCAGGCCCCAATCTGGGATACCAATATCCAGGATATTTACGCTTTTTGAATCCTGAGCCATGAAAATTCTTACATATCCAAACACACAGAGCTTTTGGCTCTTGCTAGTTACCCCATTATAGACTAGACTCTGCCTCTCCCTGGCTGGTCTTCCTCATGGCATCCATAAATCTGGATAATAGCCCACTCCTGCCAGTTACTCCCTATCTAGCCCCGATATGTCCACAGAGTCCAGATTTCCTTCTTTCTTATTTTTATAAGCCTTTATCACCTGTCTTACACTAGACCCAGCCAACATAAGTAGTGGCTTTCAGTAGGCAGGCACACTGTCCCCAGGTTCCAACTAGACAGAGGTCTGATTTAGCAAAAACACAGATTACTTTAAATATTCCTTGTCCCCTGACGATGGTATTTTCCCCCACTGTTTTTCCTGATCTGCCCAGCAGAACTATTAGGAAAAAGATCAGAAGAGTAAGAAAGAACCAATACCAAAGCCCCCTGGACATGCTACTCACATCACAGCAGAAATTCAACTGGGACTGTAATCAGAAACCGGAATTTCCACTGATTTCTAGGATTTCAGGGAATCAGCTCCCTTTCTGATCTAGCTGTGTGATTAAAATTAGCTGGGCCACACAGTGTTCTAAAAAAGCCCCTAGAAAGACTCTGTTATCTTTACACTCTTACTAAGACAACCTCCAGGCTGTGGTTCCTGGAGGCAGATTAAGAAGGTAGTAAAAAGACTGAAACGACTTTGACTAGGTCATGTTCTTATCTCTGCCTGTCTAATCATTCCAGATACCTCAACATAATATCCAAAAAAGGAGCTCAAGGACTGTGGACTCCAAAGAGGTCTTGAAATAGGGAGTATGAAGTCATAGTTAAGAGAGAGGATCTGGAGTCAGACTGCCTGCGTTTGAATCCCAGGTCTGCAACTTCCTAGCTAGGTGATCTTGGGCAAGACATGTAATATCTTTTTTTTTTTTTTAAAGATTTTATTTATTTATTTGACAGAGACAGCGAGAGCAGGAACACAAGCAGGGGGAGTGGGAGAGGGAGAAGCAGGCTTCCCGCTGAGCAGGGAGCCCGATGTGGGACCCGATCCCAGGACTCTGGGATCATGACCTGAGCCGAAGGCAGCCGCTTAACGACTGAGCCACCCAGGCGCCCCAAGACATGTAATATCTCTTGGCATTAGTTTATGAAGAGGATAATAACAGTTATCAAACTCATAACGTTGTTGTAAGGATTATATGAGAGAAAAGGAACTTTGAAACATTCCTGCAGGCTTAAATGCTTAATAGATGTTAGTGATTATTCATATTATTTCTCTGCAGAGCAAATCTGACAATCCAGAGGGTGTAAGAAAAGAAAAAGTAAAAAAACAAAACAAAGACAAAAAAAAAACCCAAACCCAAACCTCCATGCTTGCTTCGATACCACCTATACTAAAATTGGAATGATACAGAGAAGATTACCATGGCCTCTCACAAGAATGACCCTCAAATTCATGAAGCATTCCATAACTTAAAAAATAAAAGGCAAAAAGAAACCAAGAATACATTCTCCGTATAGTTTTAAGATTGAGTTCAAAAGAGGGTATCTATCAGGTTTCACACAGATAAAGAAGAAAATCTATATCAAAGAGCTGAACTTGTCTGGTCCTCAAGGCCTGTCTGTGGGTACCCTACACTTTTAAATGTAAATGTTCAGCAAATGTTTGCTTTTCATCCCATGCCCTGTACAGGAGAAGCAATCAGAGGGTTGTTTTTTTTTTTATTTTGTTATGTTAATCACCACACATTACATCATTAGTTTTTGACGTAGTGTTCCATGATTCATTGTTTGCGTATAACACTCAGTGCTCCATGCAGAACGTGCCGTCTTTAATACCCATCACCAGGCTAACCCTAGGCTGCTACTTTACAGGGGCGCGAAGCGCTGCTAAGTGCTAGTACTTTCCTTTGAGCTACTGCGCTGGAGGTAATGTGTTGGCATCTGATGGAGGGGAGCACCCTGCCCATTCACATATCCTTTGGGTTGCCTCTGACAAAATCAGTGAGCAGAGGTAAAAAGATGTGTGTGTAGGATGCGGTTTACTCATGTCTGAAACCCTGACGATGGGCAAACAGCGGATAATTACACCTGAAAGTAGCTCCCCCACCCCCACCAAATACATGCCTTTTATTACCTATGAATACCATCAACGCCATGTTAAAGAGAACTGAAATTAACTGAAAAGAACTGACCTGTGAATCATTTCCCAACCAGGGAATCACTGTTGTGATGGGTGATCCATCCCCCGTTAATCATGGGCATGGTTTTCTCCAGGAAATGTTTGCAATTACTGCAATGTAGGGATACAGATTCTAAAGAAATGTAGCTCTGATATTTCCATTTACACTGAATTTTATACACCCAAGAATACAGCAAATACTGAAACAGATTAGCTTCCTGGAAGAAAAGGAGCTGTGAAGTTTTCAGTGAGAATGGGCTGCCCTCTGCTGGGCACTTAGAGAAGTCTCCATGAGGGCACCGCAGGCAGGGCTGCCTCAAGTTTTCAGAGACAGTGATACTTGGAAGTAAAACAAAAACAAGACCAAAAAAAAAAAAACCCACAAAAAACCATGGCAACAAACTTAAACTTTGATGTTATTTTTTAAAATATCTCCAGTAATCACAACAAACTTAAACTTTGGTGTTATTTTTTAAAATATCTCCAGTAATCACAGACTGTGAAAACACAATTATAGAAAAGGCCCAAGGGAAGGGGATACTTAAAAAAAAAAAAATGCCTAAGATTCTTTTATAAATGTGGCACCGTAAAACCAGCCTCTTTTGCTACAGAACTCCACAAATATTTCACTGGCAAGAAAAAAAAAAATGAGAATATATTCTCGGAAATACCAGGGAGGCTGAGAGACGTTTTGTTAATAGAGGCAAGAAAGAAGCAAGGCCATCTGCTGAATGACCCACAGCGTTTTCTCGTTGGTTGAGTGGGCACATTTCAGGTCATTTCTCTCAAAATGAGATTAACCTTTGCTCTCAAGTCTGTGTGTGCGTGGGCGGGGGGGGGGGGGGGGGGGGGGATGGGTTAGCCTGGTGGTGGGTATTAAGGACAGCAGTAGCTCGAAAGAGGCTCTGGCCCAGGCCGGCGGCACAGCCACGAAGGGGAGGTCTCCACTGCACATGTCCCAGAGTGAAGTATATGTAAGAGCTACGAAGTAGGCTCACCCAGCAAGTCCTGCACAGGGCTCACTACCCACCTACACGTGTTTCATTCCGCTCAGGAAAGCCCCAGGCTCTTATCTGAGCAGGCCGAGCGGTGCTGATTGGTAAGGTTTGAACTTGAAGGCCAAGCAGCCTTCCTCAAACACTCTCCTCCCAATCAATCAATAAAATGGCACTTGAATGGCTCTGAAATCGCCAAAATGGGTCATTTCTCTTTTCCAGATGTGTTACCATTCCAATGTGCTGAGAGGGTCAGTGGGAAGAGAGCTACAGTAAATTATTAACATCCATTAGTGTACATCAGTATCATATTAGTTGTTTCCCAGAAAGCAGGGCCCAAAGAGAATGGGTAATAAGGGCAGGTAAGGTTTGAGAGTCAGTAAAAAAAAAAAAAAAAAAAAAAAAATTGGGGAGTGGGGGGGAAATGGCAAGAGGTGTGGATGGAAGCCTCAGTGCATAGCCAGGGATTGTAACTGGAAAAGAACACCAAACATTTTGCCTACTCAGTTATCTTGGATCTCTGGCATGATTGTTGGACTTCCAACCTCTAATATCAATAGCAGTGGATAGAAAATCACAAAAAAATTTGTTGTTGTTGTTTTAATGATGCCAGGGCCCATGTGTGGCCACTAACTCAGAATTCCTTGGGGGGCTCAAGCAGATAGTGGCAATTTTGTAAAGGGTCCCCAGGCGAGTCTCTCACGCAGCTCTGGCTGAGAATCACCGCTCTATGGGTCACATCCTCTCCAGCACTGAGGGTGATGCTGCTGAAGCAGCTAGCAAACAGACCAACGAGCGCGCCCTTCTCATTTGGCAATTTGAGATTTAAGAGTTAAAATGGCAAATACAGGACAATTGCACCTGTTGCCAAACACAGTTCCGCGGGCCAATGAAGGTCAAAGAGAACCCTCCTACGGTAGGTAATGGCTGGAACCTGTGGTTTTAAGTCTGTGAAAAACCCTGGTCAGAATTCATTTTAGCTCACGCATTGGAACCACTGAGAGTCAACTGTTCATACTTTCATCTCCAGGTATGTAATCACACAACAAACAGCCCAGGAACTAGAAGCAAAAAACAAGAACAAACAAAAAACGCTGCCACTCTGAAGTATTTTATGAAGACACCTAAGGGTCACTTGAAGCAATTTTTTTGAATGCTCCCACTCAGGTAAAACGATATTTAATCCAATTCTTAATTTCATCATGAGCTATTTATGCGAAGAAGGTACATTAGGAATCCCTGGTCTGCATCGCTACAATTCTGTAACTTCATACCCCTATCTAAATATGCCTCGTTTTATCAAATCCATTACTTATGATTCGTTTCAGTGTCAGGTCTCTGTTGAACTCTACAGCTGATGAGAGCCAAAACAGCCTTCCGTTTTAAAAAATCACCTGCTAGCTTGGTATTATTGAATTTGAATGTATCCCTTACAAAGCCATCCTGCAGTTAGACCTTTTTCCTAGCAGGGCTGTTAGGAATGGAGCGCTTCTTCACACCAGGAGGGGAGGCACCATCTCCCCCAAACTCATTCAGAATGTCTCCTGAGCGAAGTCTGACCCTCCAAAATCAAATAGTAATAGATATAGTCAATAAAGGTACCAAATCTCTTTTTAGAAGGTACTCTGGGGAATCTGCCTTAGTGTGAAAGTCTGTGTACCTCAGGAGAATTCTGAAAATACGCACAATATTGAGCCACACTCACACCTTCCAAACTGCCCTTGGAGTGCCAGAGGACTTACAACTTGCTATGTTTTCAAAAATCTGCCGAATTGAAAGCAAAGGCTGTATATTGGTTGCAGGTTTCTTTTTACTTCTCTTTCTTCATTGTCAACGAACACGTACACTACCAAAGTGTTCGGGGAACACACACAAGCATGACATAGGCTTCGCCACAGATGTACCAGCAATGTTCTTGAGAGGCAGGTTTACAAGGGTCCCAAGTCAAGGTCCCCGGCCATTAGGAAAGACACTAGGTCCTCATGAGGGGTCAGGAAAGGAAGTAATCCTGAAGTCCAGAACGGCTTCATAGATGAGACACAGACTCAAGCTGGCCTTAAAAGTCAGAGTGAACAGAGTGAAGGATGACATTCTAGACAGAGAAAAATAAATTAAGACTGTGGACCTCTCCCTCCTGGAATTATATTAATAAAGCACCCTTCTCTGAAATGACTTGAAAGAAAGAAAACAAACCAAGTTTCGTGGGCATTTTGGGTCCTACCGAAAGAAAACTGATAACCAATCATATAAAACCAGATAACTACTAAGAGTTATTGGCTATAGGTACGCGGTATGGGAATGATGTCAGGAATTCATTCACAAAAAACTTTTACTGCTCCTGACAACCCTCAACAAAGGGGGAAATCACCTAAATGTTAAATATTACCAGATCCATGCTTCTATGAATGTTAAGACTGTCATAGTCCAGAGATTTTTCATCCAAAAACCTAAGGTGGGTCCGGAAAGTATCACTTTCTAGGCACAACACTGACACGTTGAGTAACCCTTCCAATGCTTGGTTTTTCCACAAGCACAATAACACTAACCCTCACGGGCTTTCACAAACAAAGGCTTCTTCCTGGAGTTTTCAGAATAAACCATCCAGGCTATTTGGCCTGGGGTAGGCAGGTCTACGCACTGAAGGGTCAGAGTGGGGGAGATGGGAGGAGGTGATCAATCCCCAAAGATTTAAAACCTAGATGCAAAAGAGAAAATATCACCCTAAGAACAGGAAAATCAAATTGCCAAGATTTATTTAACTTTTTATTTTACAGAAAATACATGTATGTAATATAAACACTGACAGGGAGATAGCACAGGGATCAGGAAGACAAATGAATTGGACAAGACTCTGGCTTCAACACCGCACTGCTTCCTGATTTCATGTGCAGCACAAATTACATGGTCATATATACTGGGAAAATGCAAGGCAACATTCATCTAGATTTACCAAAACACCAGAGGGCCTCTGAAATCCAACAATGCCATACGGAAGCCTGGTCTGTTGCTAAAGAACAAAGCTGAGCACATGTCCATCTATCCATTTACTCAAGGCATTTCATGTAGTAACTTAAGAATGAATTAACACATGAGCTTTAATAGGCTGTGGAGGCCAAGGATGAAATTGTGCCTCTTTTCCCTCTTCAGAGAAAATAACTTAATTAAAAGCATAGCTGCCCGACACTGGATAGATGACAGCATAATCACAGTGAATTATTTCAGTAAATCCCATGAAATGCAACACACAATAAAGGACTGCCATGGTGCTTTGCCCTAACAGTCATTCCAGATCTAATGCTATAAAATCACATGAGTTTTTAAGGCTCTTTCCCAGAACTCCGAACCAGGAAAAATGACCCAAATAAATGGTTGAGATCAAGAGCCACCTTGATTTAAAACAATCTGTTTCTAAACTTGAATTCAATAATAAAGAGTAGGGGTTCCCATTTTCTAGGATTATCCCAAGAGATTAAAGTGACTGGTCTTTCATCAAAGCGTACCAGGTGATAGTCACACTTTGATAATAGATGCCTAATACAGTGTCTGGTTCAGTAATGGGGCTCAGTGTCTTATGATCTGGGGTTCAGATAAGGCTGCTTAAGATCTAGAGATTAAGGGGGCACCTGTCTGGCTCAAGTCAGAAGAACATGTGACTCTTGATCTCAGGGTTGTGATTTGAGACCCACACAAGAGATTATTAAAACATAAATAAACTTTAGAGATCAGCAAGCCCTGAAACTGCCAAGTACACCCACTCCCTCGCTCAGCTCCGTAATCAAAGGTTCTTACAAATAATCTGTAGTCCTTCATTCTTCAATACTCAACAACCTGTGGAGAAACAAGTGCCTCAGAGACTTCATCCTTATGGGAAGCAGAGCTTATGGTAGCTCATGCCAAACACCGGTTCTCTAGAAGAGAGATGTTTGTGTGACCAGGTGTTTTTGAAACTCTTTTTCCCAGGCACAGCTAGCCTCCCTGTATTGCTGAGATGGAGATTTTTTCCTAAAGGTGGTTATATAACATCACATGAGAAATACTCATTTTCACAAAAAAAAAAAAAAAAAAATTCACCTTTATATCCCTTATCCATAGCATTTGGCACAATGTTCTGCAATCTATTGTGCTCTCACTAAAGATGAACCTAGAACAGAGGAAACCAAAACCAGGTCTTAAAAGGGATAGGAACGGATATTCCCAAGGAATCCCTGGATCAACTGTGACCTTTTTGTGCTCTATTACATTAAGTTCTTACTCAGAAGGCTTTTTTTTTTTTTTTTTTAACATGCAAGATGATAAAATAGACCCGCACCATATCACGCAGATTAGGAAAAGAGCTACTCACCCTGGACCTCTGTAATGGAACTCATTTACCTCTTCAAAAAGTAGAGGGCTTTAGCCATTGTGCAAGACAGAACACTGTTCCTGCAGGTAGGACAAGATCTTTCACCAAAAATTCTCTACCCTGTAGTCAGACCACAGGTGCCAATATTTGGCTTGGAAAGCAGGCCAAGTACTGAGGGTTAAATGCCAGAAACCTTTAAAGCAGCAAGTGGGACCCTGGCTTATCTTCACTCTGCAGTTACTGTTCTAAACTGTCTAGACTGAGTTCCTGTCCAGCACTTCAACCCCAGAAATTCCATTAGAGGGATCCCGAAGAGGAGACCCGTCATGTGGGAACGAGCCATTTCCTCCCCTATGACTTCTCTTCTCCTCTCTTGGGATCAGTTCCTGTTGGAGAAAGCCCTTCTCTTTGAAAAATGAAAGATGAAACCTCTGAAAAATAGCTTCATCCTATTTGCAGATTCTAGACACAATTACCTTGAGGGAAATAAGGCACCTAGAATAGGACCCCAGATGGCCTATGTGGGAACACAACTGACAGGAGATCCTGTGGGGCTGCAAAGGAGCAGGGCTTCCAAACATGAGCACGACTTTCCTGCCACAGGCTGGGCTGCATGGTGGGCTGCTGCTGTGATGGTCTGACAGGCACAGTGGAGGCTCTGAAGAACTCAAAGAAATACAGACAAAAGTCTTCCTTAAAATAGAAAGTTACACTATCAAGCGGGTCTCTGGCCAACACCATCATTCTTCCAAGTAATGTCTTCAGAGTCAAGAGAGGAAGTATGGAAGCACTAGGGGAGCAGTGAGGGGACCCAGGTTCCAGTCCTCACTCTGTTACTAGCTGGTCACATGACCTTGGGCACGCCACTTGACCCTCCCCAACCCACCCCCACCCCGAAGTCATCATCTGTAAAATGGGGATAAAACCACTTGCCTTGTCTACCTCTCGTCGTGATGTGAGGACCAAATGAGATAATGTGAAAGCGCTTTGTAAACTGTGGGACACTGTATGTAAAGTAACAGTATATACTTATTACATTTTAATTAGGTCCTTATCATTGCCTATTTGACTAGAAGTGCCCCATGCAGAATGTGCTTTGCAATAGATAGACTCAAAAATAGGTGCTATAAATATACACTGGCCTTTTCCACTAGGGTTTTTAAAGAATAAAGGGACATTCTTAATTTCCTCAGAAATGGCCTCAGAATACATTACTTAAAAATGTGAGGTCATCCAAACCTACCAAGTGATAGAATTAATTTTCTCCAAATATGTCGTGTACAATTACGTCTGGTCTGTTGATACCTTTATACAGAGAAGTCTTAAATTCAAGAAACAGCATGCTAAAACTTAAAACATAATTACAGTTTGTTGTAAAGGAAATAAAATGAAAATAAGAGGCATCCTATATAATGAAATTAGGTTCCAGTTCCTCAAATGGTTGCCTTTTTCCTGAGATATCTCCAGGACAGGGTCCTAGTCCTGTGAAGTGCTTTAGAGAAGCTTAGCCTTGCACGAGGTGAAAAGGACATGTAGGTTGGCAATTAGGCTGTGCTCATTTTCAGCACTAGGATTTGAACAAGGTCTGCTAGGAGCTGCCAAACAGCTTTGGTGGAGAAACCCATATGGCCCAAAAGAGGCTTGCTAGTTCTCAGATGCCAGGCCAGAGTATGGAGAGCAGTTTAACGCAGCCATCCAGTTCAGGGATTTTCAATTCTTCCTGTAAGGTGGTTCTGCTCTTCTCCGCTCTAGTAAATAATTGAACAGAAGAAAAACAGTAAGATGTAGAGCAACATATCTACCAGACTTTAGGGCCTTTTTCTGCCCAGCTGCAAGTTTACATGCAGAACAGAGACCCAGGCAAGACATGAATGGGAATGACTCTGACCAGCCCAAAGCACCCAGATTCCAGCATCCGTGTGAGACAGCCTTTATTACAAATGTTACAAATGAGGAGTTGGAGGGAGTCCTGTCAGTGCAATCACTAGTTAACTGGATGGTCGTCCTTTGGGGCCACAGGCGTGTTGCTAACCTCCACTTTTCTTCCTGATTTGCTTTGCTTTCCGGGGTTTGAGGATGGTATAGTTTGCATATGCTGTATACTGATCTGACAGGAAGGGGACATAGAATGCCCGGAGCAACCTTGAAGATCTGAAAAACAAAGAAAAAAGAAAAAGACAAGACAGAATTTTATCATTGGAGAGAATTTACTAACAGTGTTGAAAATGATGAAAGGAAGTTACTTAAGTGTGGTGGCGAGGATCATATTCTATGTATGTAGCACAGAAAAATGTGTCCTTTAACTACTAGATCAAGAAAACAGATTTAATCAAACCAAGTACCTTGTTACCAACACCAAAAAGATGGTGTCCCTCGTAAGCCACAGTGTTTCCTTCAGAATAGCTCTAGACCTTCACTTTGCATAGAATATGCCACAGAAAAGTTCCAGGTCAATCAAACCACTGCTATTACTGGAAAAATTTTTTTTTTAGTTTTATTATGTTATGTTAGTCACCATACAGTACATCATCAGTTTTTGATGTAGTGTTCCACGATCCATTGTTTTCGTATAACACCCAGTGCTCCATGCAGTACGTGCCCTCCTCAATACCCATCACCGGGCTAACCCAT